AAAAGTTTCCTATTGTTTGGTTGTAAACCAAAAAAGACTTCTAATGAAAACATTTGTTCCTAAAACCCTTTTGGATTTTGAAGAACCAAAGTCAAAACTATTTTCCTTGCCCTCTTTATTTTGGCATAGAACACAAAGAGTTAAAACTATTAGAAGAGTAAACAAAGAAAAGCCGTGCTCAATTCTCTGTATTTCCTTTGGCATCCTATTGAAGTGTGATCTTGGTGCGTGTTCACTGTGTATTTTTCGTTTTTTTTCTGTGTGGTCTTTATCCATAGTAAGTTTCAATTAACTTTTAAGACTCAGTGATATTTTAGAAAAGCAAGGATGAACCACACTTTACAAGATGCCATCTAAAACAGTGGAATCAAGGCAGATTTTCTCTGTTGATTGATTTATTCTTTTTCAAAGACCCCGGTATAGGTGGATTTATATTTGGGCATTTGAAATGGATGGCATTTTGTCCTGTCACAGTTAAACTTCAGGTACTGCTGTTGCATAAGGATGTGCAAGTTTAAGAATTCCTATTTTTTTCCTCATTTTTGTTAGTTATAAAAAATTATTCTGGAAAAAACATTCAATCTGAAAATTAATGGAGTGTTAAAAATACTTCGATATTTTCTTTCTGCTTATGAGGAGAGGACATTAAGGAAAGGGGGGCTAGTATATCAGGAAACTAAATCTGCTCCACATAGGTCAAGTTTTGACAACTTCTTTATCAATTTCACCAGGTTTTTAAAGTTGAGATGAAGTTAGGGCTGTTTATTCTTTTAGCTTTCTTCCTGCACAAGTATTCCTGCCACCTTCAGGGATTTACTTGCCATTGGCAGAATTAAGGCCAATACTGTTTTCTGCTTCATAGTGTATTTTTATTTCTTAGGTCAAAACCCGAACTTGCTTTGCCATCAATTCATTTATTTAATAATATATTTTATATGTTTTCTCTCCCCCTCCTGTCCATGTCTGTAACAGGCCTCTGGTCCTTACTCCTGATAAACACATTGATTTATTTAAACCACTGTTGTCTTTGTCGCTCTCATAGCAGACTACCTTCCTCACCGTGAACAGACACATGATTTACTATGGAGGATGAAAATAAGCCTTCTTCTTGGTGTTCCATTGTCTGGGCCCTAAACCAGCTGTCTATTAAAATGGTTTCACTTAAAAGAGTCAATGCTGTTTATATGCTTCTGTGATCTCCCAGCTGATCCAGTCTCAGCGAGCTTTACTCACACCCCACGGAGGCACATATTTAAATTAGTAAGAAAAGCAGAAACTTCTAAGTTGGTATTAGAAGATCCCTTTCCTTTTAGGCTTAAAGTCTGGGTTTGCTGAACTGTGAACCCCTCTTGACATATGTATGAAATGTAGACGGTAAAGAACTGATATGTGGCTATCGGTTGTGTAGGTGTGTAAGCTGGAGGGAGACCTTGGTGACATTTTTAAAAAGTCTGTCTTATTGTGCACATTCTGCTTCAGAGATATTCAGCAAAATAACTTTATCATATTTTCCCATTTTGGATCTCATTGGACTGTTGATTTCTTGGCCCATATCTTTTATGTGATACTGTGTGTGTGTGTGTGTGTGTGTGTGTGTTAAGAAGGCTTTTCAGTTAACAAATACTGCATAGGTGAGGTTGGAAGTAGATCTTCCTGTGACTGAGGTCCACTCTATAACTGATTCTGTTACACTGAGGTTCTAGCTTACTATACTTCCAGGATTTTAGTTCTACTTCATAGGAAAGTGAAAAGACTCCCTGTTTCTCTTGCTTTCATTTCAGAAGTCACAGAAGTAGCCCTTCTTTCTCTGTGTTTATGTGCTAAAAAATATTGTTCTGTTGAGGCCTCAAAAAGAGGGACAGCAGAAACTTTATGCTTCCCCTCCTCTCTGGAATTCTTAACTATTTCTGAGCAAATCCAAACTCATGCTTTTATTTTTCTATGCTTCATTTAGAGAAGGATTCTCCAATTTGACTGCTGCCAGAAGTGAAGTGGCAGTTTGGCATTTGGTAAAGAGATGTATCACAGAGGCCCTGCGCCTTCCACGAAAGATGTTCAGTCATTAAAGATAAAAACATGGGATCGCTGGGCATCCCTGGATCATCTACTGTTTAGGGGAGTTGTGAGCATACCTGCATTGCGGCATGACTTTCACTGAATATCATCACAGATCCACTGATTTTGGTGGAACCAGCAGCCTCAACAAAAATAATATCATCTAGAAAGAATCAAAGTGAGAAGGTCTGATGTAACTGATACACATTCCTCTTTAAAAAAAAAACACAATTTTTTTTTTTTACAGGAAGGAAAACCCTACCAATATCTGTGAATATATTTACCAAGTTACTTCTATTAGTTTAGCATGACAAAAAACTGAAGTTGAAACAGAGGTTATCAGTGATATTAAGAGAACATCCAAAACATGTAAAACATGTAGTGATAAATAGGATTTCACAAAAATGCATGCTTAGAATGTTTTAGCACCATATTTAAGACCTAATCAGTTATTTACAGTGTTTCTTTGATTTCAGCAGTGATTGCAGTAAATAAAGCAGGCAGATATAATTTTCGGTTTTCAAAATGTTTTCGATTTACTCAACACATTTTCTTGAATAAAGCAACTTCTCGGGTATTTCAAAAGGTCTTTTAAGAACACAGGAAAGAATCATCAGTGTAGGCTAAAACTAGTAGATGAAAATTTTAGGGATAATATATTACTATAATGTAGATTATCTCTCCATAAGATAGTTATGAGTTACATAAAGTGAAGTAGTAACGTTACAGTGGGGAAATCGGGGTGATGATCTCTGGTGGATGGCAGACAGCACCTTAACCAAATGGTCAGAGTTTACTGCAGTAATGGACCTAGTTGACAGTGTGATTTGATACACTGAGAAGAACTCAGAATCACATCTGTGGTATTCCAGCCCTGTAATGTGTAACTTTAATCTAAGTCTGAGGAGACATCAGATAATCCCAAACTGAGGATATTCTGCAAAAGAACTGGCTTGTATTTTTTAATAATGTCAATATCATGAACTACAGACTCAGAAATGTTCTGTATTAAAGGAGACATGATGACTGAATGCAATGATTGGTATTGGAGTTTTAAGATTTTTATTTACTTATTTATTTATTTATTTATTTATTTATTTTGCTGTGAAGGACATTATTGAGTAATTGGTGAATTTCAATAAAGTCTGTAGATTAGATTATTATATTGTATAATCAGTGCTAATTTTCTTTTTTTTTTTTAAGATTTTATTTATTTATTTATTTGAGAGAGAGAGAGAATGAGAGACAGAGAACATGAGAAGGAGGAAGGTCAGAGGGAGAAGCAGACTCCCTGCTGAGCAGGGAGCCCGATGCGGGACTCGATCCTGGGACTCCAGGATCATGACCTGAGCCGAAGGCAGTCGCTTAACCAACTGAGCCACCCAGGTGCCCCAGTGCTAATTTTCTAATTCGGATAATTGTCCTGTGGTTATGGAAGAGAATTCTTTGTTTTAAGGAAATATATGCTGAAGTATTTAGGGTATGTCAGCAGTTTACTTATGAATGGTTCAGGAAAAAAATAGAAAAGAATAAGCAGATTTAGTAAAGTATAAACATTTGAGGAATCTGGTTAAAGAGTATCTTATAATTCTTTATATATTCTTGCAACTTTCTTGTACCTCTAAAATTATGTCAAAATAAAACATTAAAAAATACAAGGTTATGGTAGGCTAACCATAAAAAAAAATGGTTTTGAGGGGCCAATGATAGAGAAAGGTTTTCTCCTTATACAAGTACTTTACACCATGTTTTTATTTGTTGCAACTTTTGTTCTGTAATGGAATTAATTGTCATACCCAGAGCCTGCTCTAGGGTCTGCACATACTGTGTTGTAAGCTGTCTCGATCCTTTACAGGTTCTAAAAGTCCCAGGTTTATAAACAAAGCACATTAGAGCCAACTACAAGTTAGTTACTGCAGCATCTCTGTGTACTAAATAAGGATAGTCTCTGGTTAATTTAAATAGTTTTGTTGCCAAGAAATTGAGAGTTATCTGAATGTGTGAAAGTAATTTTATTAGTAACTTGAAGCTGTGTTTGTATTATGCAGTGATACAGTGTTAAATTAGTTAAAATATATCCCGAGGTAGAGCATTGCTCTACCAATAGCTGTGTTTTCCTTTGGCCCAGTATTAACGTGTAGGTCTTCCAGGAAGCTGCCATCTCAGGGAAAATTCAGGGTGATTTTAAGCAAAATGTTTGTATGCGCATTACTGAAAACAGACAAAGACATATTGGCTGATGAGGTGGTTTAGAGTCCAAATTTTGGGAGTCAGATGTAATTCTTCTCAGTTTAGGGAGATAACTCTATGGCTTAAGCCCACACACACAGCATATGCCGACGCGTATTACTGTTTGGGTGGGTGTACACCCTGGAGAGCACATGTTTTCAGCCTGTAGGTGGGAAGAAGGATTTTCCCTGATTGATGAATCATCTCAAAGAAGACACAGTGAACGGACTCATTAACCATACCCCCACTTGTTTTCTGCTACTCATCTCTAGAACACTAAATGTTGGGGCTGGAAGTAGTAAAATGAAGGGACAAATGCATATTTAAAAGATCCACATGCTTTTCTATATTTTAAATCACTAGCATCTGAATCTGCTAAACCTTCTGGGTTTTTCCTCCTCATTGATTAAATTCATCTTATTCTGAATGGAAAGGAGAATTATGGTTGTCTTGACAACAGAAGTTTATCTCACACACTGATCCGAAGATGTGCATCATAATAATGTGGTTGATGGGACAGAGAGGAACATATACCCTCTACTTGATTTGGGTTGATCCTTAACAACGTATCCTGAAGCAGTCAGCTCAGTGAGGCTTTGGGTTCCCGAAAGCTAATTGGCCCTCAGCAATATTGAAGTGGTCAAGTACTCAATTGCAATAGTTTGTTCTCTGGTACTTGGTTCCATTTTTAGCTCAAATCATGCCTTTGTTTACAGGCCATAGTGTATGAAGGCCAAGACAAGAACCCAGAAATGTGCCGAGTCTTGCTCACACACGAGATCATGTGCAGGTAAGAAATACCTTTTTCTCTCCCTTTAATTAGCAAAGAGAAGGTGAATTTGCATCTCAAATCTAGGTGAGCTCAGGTCCATTTTTGGGTATATATTTATCTTGCTTCTATTAGATAATCTAAAAAGAACTTTAAACATGAGTATTTGGTAGTAAGGCGTCACAGACATCTCAATGGTTCTTGATTATTTATTAGATTTCATCCTGAAAGACATACATTTCCATTTTGATATCACACTTTTAATGGGCACAAAGCAGTGCCCTCCCCTTCTTCCGTTCAATCAAATAAAATACGATATATCCTTTTAGTGTTAATATATGTGCTCAACTACATTGCTAGTAAAATGAGTAAGAGTTCTACTGATGTCAGCAGAAGGGGGATAAGATTTGAAAGTTATAGTTCCCCTTTTTAATTCTCCCACTTAAAAATGTGACCTACGGTACAAAGGCATCATTCGTCCTTCAATTGAGTGTGGGTTTTCCCCCCTTGCCTCTGATCTCTCAGTCTTAGTTACCTTGTATATAACTGTGACAGTGTAGCAATATTTCTCAGTAACAGTGAGCTTTTGGAAGGATGACAAATGTTTACACCTGAAAGTTATAAAAATTCATCTCACCCACAAATGAGTGTATTTATTTTGCCTAGTAATCAGACACAAGCCACGTTGGAAAACAAGCGAGCAAACCAAATTCCCTTTCATGGCCCCAGCCAGTCCGCCACATGTGAGAGAGTAGACCAGAGAACAGCCTTTCAACTTGCGGTATAGGATTCTTATTCTTCATAGAATAACATCCGATATATTCTGAGTAATTGGGGAAAGCACGAAGATGCCACTATGCATTGGGGAAAGGCTACTAATTGCTTTGTTAGGCATGCAGGCTCTCCCTGGCACAAAGCATGCTTGGCTCCTGACTATTACTGACCAGTGTTTTAGGCTTCAGCTGCCACTTCCGAGCGGGTGGGCTTTATCTGCTCCTCCCGGACTTGTGGGGAAAGCAATCTTAAAACTCCACAGGTGGGAATAAAATAAAAAAAGGCTTAATGTGTTTTCCTACTGAAATCCCAAATATTAACTTCTATATCTATAATTATGGATGTATATAAAAATTTCTTTTTTTTTCCTTTTTAAAAAGCATACTTTTAATAGATTATTCTAAGTTCCTCAGGACTTTCACAAGTTTTCACTTCAACGATTTGTAAAACTTGGTAATTTTTCCACAAACAGGTAGCCTTTCCTTACCTTTAAAACAGTAACAAAACCCGAAAATACGGTCATCAGTTTCTTAGAAGATATTATTAAGCAAAAATTAGTGTACTGTATACAACGATTGTACCATTAATCCTGAGTTGCACTTTTCAGAATTAAATGAGTAAAATCATTTTGAACAGCATTAAAAAAATGACCTCCTTTGTATTACTATTTTTCTGATCATATCTCTATTTTAGCTTCCCTCAATTAGCATGTCATTAGAATGAATTTTCCATGTTCTATTACATGTGATTCTAGCAAATAGGGGACAGACAGGAAGATAGATCTTGAACAATAGGCCAACTAATGTCTATAAATCACAGATTTGCATTTCATATCTGTACATGTTTGGACTATGCTAGAAATAATTCTATTCTTGAAATACTTAAAGATATATTATGCCTTTCACACACAAGCCTACCCTCTATTAATGCAGTTTATATTTTTCTTGTTCTTAAAATTCATTGGTCCAAAGTACTTTATTATGCCGGTTGGCGTGCTTTACTGCTGATGTTCTTTCTATTTTTCAGAAACATAAAAATAGCAAAAATAAAATTCTCAAGCCACTGAAGGCAAATGATGATGTTTGTACTGTGTGGCTAAGAGGGAAAAGCCATATTCAAAATGTCATCTTGCTAATGTTACAGATTATAGTTTTCCTGGCTGCCTATAGATGTGTAAGGGGTACTGTTTGTTTATCAGGCCGCCATGACCCTATTACACAAACCTGTCATCCATTGTGTGCCTAACAGTCTTTTAAATTGCAAATCTGATGCTCTTTAGGGGGCTTTAGGAAAAAAATTCTCACTTTGCACACCATCCTATTTCTCTTGATTTCTTGCCTGTTGTAAGTGGAAGTTGGGATGTGCTGAATTTGCACCAGGGGTGCAAATGCAGGCTCAATTATAAGCATAAAATTAGAGTCTGTTCACCATTAATCAGCCTGGCTAATTGCTATGCACCACCATTAGCCATATGGTGTGAAAGACAGCTTGCTCTCCCCAAGATGAAATTTCTTCATTGCAGACATGAAATAGTGAGGGCCCTGGATTTTAAAATAGCTTGTTTTAGATATTTAGTTTCTAAACAACTTTCTGCAGTGCTTTCTATCAAGGCTAACGGCACAATAAAACTTTGCATTTATGTCACAAAAGCTGTATATTTATACTACATTGGAGCTATGGTAAGGGAGACACAGAGAATTTAGATCGACAAGAAAGGGCTTGGATGATTCTGTTTTGTTGCAGGCAATGAAAAAAGAAAAACCCCGAAAAACACCAGGGAGTTGTGTCTCAGGTGGTTGGAAATTAAAAAAAAATTATTTTATTCTGTTGAGAGGGAACCCCATTGCATGAGCTGGCTAAGGGACTTACTGCCATTAGATTATAATTACTGCCTCTCTTTGAGACAAAACCTCTTTGACTTGATGGCATAGAACTCTTTTCGTGGAATTCTGGGAAGGTTTCTGCATTTTCGGTGAATTGGAATCTATCATACCGATTATCATTGTATTTTGCTAATACTTAGTTCTTTAAAAAATATGCCCCCCCCCCAAGGATTTTTTAAAGCTGGAGTCTATAAGGGATTTGATTATACTGCATCTCAACATCCTGTGTTTAAATGTAAATGGAAAATAGGAACTATGCTTGGTAGATGAGCCCTAGTCCTCAGCAAACCCCCTCCACCGCCGCCCCCCCAGGCAGGCCAAACCGATTTTCTCCCTTTCCAGTGCACAGGATGATTGCAGGGGATGGGTGCTCTGTTTAGGAAAGATTCTTTTTCTATTATCAGTGCCCAGCCTCTTATGGGACCAAGAGTTCCCAGGGCAAGCTCAGGGCAACCCCTTGAAATAGTCTGCTCTTTCTTCCTCTTTTGCTGGCTTGTTCTGATTTTGTTTTTCAGATTTCTACTTAAGCATGGTTTCTTCAGGGAAGTGTCCCAGGCCCTTCGCCTGAGTTATGTCTCCTTGGCGTGCACTCCTATTATATCCCATGCTTTTCCTTAACAGCACTTAGCACACTGTAACTGTGTGTCCAGGGCCTGTCCTTCTTTGCTGAGCTAAGAGCTCCTTGAAGGCAGAGAAGCCCCTCAGCTTTCATCTCTGCTTTAGTTGTCCCATGGGTGAAATGGGGGAGAAATGCTACTTCTCTCATAGGGTGGTTGTTAAGATTAAATGCTATAATCCCCATAAATACTTACCACGGTGCCTGACACGTAGTAAGTACCGAGTGTCTATCGTTATTCCTGATAGGAATAGCAGTACCCTTAGTAGTAACACCAGCCGAAGCAGAAGTCCTAGTAGTAGTCCTAGGAGCAGCAATATCTGCAGTGTCTAGCTAAGTACCTGGTACATAGTTGCTCAGAGTGAAAGATAATAAGAGAACATTGAAGGGAAGGGAAGTGCCTACTACAGCATTAACATACTTTGTTCATTCGAGGTATGGTGGTTAAGGATATTTTCATTCATTCTTGTAGCACCAGCTATGTGCAAAGCACTGTGGAATGCAGAGCCAAAGGACTGGTCCTGTAGTAGGAGAGGTACAGGTTAGCCTGGGAGATGAGACCTGTCAGCCGATGACCAGACTGCACTGTAGACAGGGTTGTCTGTGATGAGGGGTGAAGCAAAGGACTGTGGCTGTTCGGAGAAGGGAGGACGTACCTGAAGGCGGGTAGTGGCCTCAGGAATGAGGAGGAGGGTGAGATAGGACAGGAATTTTAGAGGGTGTATGAAGAAGTGTTTGGGCCTGTTTGTTGGTGGTCTGGCAGGATTTCTCTGGGGAGAGAGGATTGCAGGTGAGTGGGCTGTGGCCTGGGGCTGGGGAAAGAGGGTAAAAGATAACCAGCGTCAGAGAGGTCTTTTCCCAACAGTGGAGTTAAAGCTATGGGCTTACATGGGACTGGAAAGGGTGGGAGACTAGAAAGAGTAGAGACCATGGGTACATTCTTGGGGAGTGGTCATATTTAGCAAGGAGGGAGAGTGTGTTCAAGAATTAGGAGAAAGAACCTTGAGCATTCAAGGCATAGAAATAAAAGGAGGGGGTTTCCAAGATGAGGAGCCATCTGTATTATAAGTCCTGGGAAGATCCAGATGGACTTGAAGAAAGAAAAGTACCAGAAAGTCACTGGTGAACTTTGAGAGAGGACATTCAAGTAGGTGCTGAGGCCTGGAACCCAGATTTTATGGCAAGGAATGATGGCAACTCTGGCAAGGAGAAACATGGGCAGTGAAGAAACTAACTCAAGAGAAAAGGAGAATTTTTTTTTTTAAGAGAGTGGGACAACTTGACAGTGTTTGTCAACTAAGGGAAAGAGTGAACTTACCACTATGAATCAGACTATTCAGATAATTCATGTATCTCATTCTGTAGCCACTTGGGCTGAACAGGAAAGATAATCTTGTTTTCTGATGTGAAGCTTAGAGATTTAGGTGATGCTTTTCTCCAGTTGAGAGAGCCTCTACTTCTAGGAAACGATTCCATGCCTCTAGATGAAGATCTGCAAGTCCCATGACTGGGAAGCATGTAAACATTGCTTGCCCTGACTTAGGAAGCTGTGTGTCAGCTCGCTGGAGATACACCACCTGTGTTAGGCTGCTAAGGAGGAAACTCATACATTTGCTTTTCCCTGGGTGTGTGGAATTATCTGGGAGATGCCCGATCCTGCTGGGGAAAGGGATGCTGTCTTGAGTCTGCAGTGTTTGTAGCATAGCAGGTGCTGGGGACCCACCCCTGTGACCCACTCCACTTTGCCTTCCTGCCACTTGAGTTTCAGGTTGAGAAAGGATGTGAAGTAGTGGGCTTCCTGCTCCTGTGACAAAGCCAATCAGGAAACCCCAAGCCCCCTGATAGATGCCCACTCTGGGGGGTCAAATGCCAGGGCTGTGCCTGGTACAATAGGAGCCTAAGAAACCGTTTTCAATGGATGAAGATCCATAGGTCACACAGTGATGAGGATATAATTGTCACTGTGATTTCTTTCATTAACACGGTAACTTCTCTCTTAAAGTGCTCTCACGTCTGTTGTCCCATGTACTGTGCTGGTTCAGCCTGAGCGCACGCCTGCTTTAAACCTAAGCAAATCTGTTCTCCCTTCATCCTGTCCTGTCTTGTGTGTGGTGGAGGGGGTGCCTACCTTTCTTGGTCCTTCTGAGTTCAGTAGAAGGAACCAGGAGGCAGCTAGGTTTAGAGAAGAGATGAAAGAGAAGGGCGAGAAAGACTGTGGTGGGGAAGAAGGACTGGTTCTTGCTCAGCGTGGCTCTGGGCTCAGAACTAGGAAGCTGGAAGGCGGGTAGATGTCGGCTCAGTCTAAAGGAAGACATTTCTTCCCCAACTTACGGTTGATTTTCAGTTTTTTAATAGGGAAGTAATACTGCAATAAAAAGCAGAATATATATAAAATATATACCCTCCATTCCTTCCCACTTCCTATTCCACTCCCTACGGGTTACTTCTTGGAAGTTTATATTCATTTATTCAAAACATATTTCCTGAGGGTCTCCTGTGCCCTGGTCTCTGTTCTAGTTGCGGCCTAGAACAAAACAGTCTAAGACCCTGTCCTCATGGACAGGCAGACAGCATAGAAGAAAATAAATATAAAATATAATGTGCTGGGTGCCAGGGAGAAAAGTGAGACAGGATGAGGGAGAGCTCTGGGGCAGTCAGGCAGGGAAGGGCTTTTTAAGGTGGTGACTTTGCCTAGAGATTTGAGTGAAAGTGAGGGGTGAACTGGCTTGTGCCCAATTCTCTCTTCCTCTCCCCTCCCCCTCTCTCTTTCACTCTTTCATTTTTTTTCTCCCAGAAATAGGACCATACCATACACACTATTCAGCAGCTTGGCTTTCTCGATTCATAATTTGATTTAGACTTTTTTCCGTGAGAGTGTGTAAAAACCCACTTTCATCCTTTTTAATGCTGCACATAATTCTGTATATACATGTATATACACACATGCACGTATATGTATGCACACATATATGTGCATATCTATGCATTTTAAAAGTAGGGTTCATCCTGTAGACCGTATTTTGTCACCACTCCAGGTGCAGAGCAGCACCCAAGACTCCCAGTTTGGGAATGACGACTGTGATGCAGTGATATGACCCCCTCCCCACCCCCCGCCCCTCCGAGACGGGAAACCTGTGGGGAGGCCATTTTTTATACTTTGCATAAAGTTTTATTTTTTATAAGTGTTAAGTGAGCTTCAGCCCCTTCATTTTGCTTTCTCTTCAATCCTTCATTACCTCCTTTTATTCCTGTTCTGTCTTTCCTTCCACACTTCTGTTCTTCACATCTGCCTTTTCCGCTGGATCCCTTGGGGCCCAGCAGAGAAGTGGTTCTCATTTATGCTCTGCTTCAATTCATCCCACTGCGCTCAAGGGCATTTTTATTTTAAGAGGATGAAGAAAGACAGTGCTTAAGTCAAAGGACCAATCTCATGTCTTGTGTGGCACTTGCTTGGGGGAGGTGGTTTGGTGTACGGAGTGGGATGGGAGTGAACCTTCTTTCCATCAGTAGTGCCTGATCAGAGGGTCAGCTTGGCTTCCTCTATCTCTCACCTTCCTATTTCCTTGGATCGTATTTCCCTCAGTACATTACATCATTCTTTAAGTCATTTGATCAATCAATCATCAATCAATATTTGAGCTTCTCCATTCTATTTCAGTCCTTACATTACTCATTAGGTAAATAAAATTTACAGTTTCTTCCTTTATGAAGCATACAGATTAGTGGGGGAGCACAGTGAGAGGAGAAAAAGAGTAATAAAACAAACATTGATATAAGAATATAATTTGCATTGCGTTACATGTCCTGAAAGGAAAAACCAGGAGGAGCCTGAAGGGGGTCAGGGCCAGCCTCTCTGGAGAGGGAGCGTACAGGCTGAGGCCTGAACAGCGAATAGAGGCTGCCTAAACAAGGAGGGGCTGGAGGAGGAACAGACCAGGCCAGGAGGCCTGCCCAGGCCTAAGCCTGAGGGCAGACTGAGTGAGGCATATCAGAGAGACTGAAATTGGCCAGTGAGGTTGGAGCTTGGCAGCTCAGAGGAGAGTGACAGGAGGCTGGACGGTGGTCTGGCATCATGGCATGCCATAGAGCTGTTCTGAGTGCTGGGGGAAGCCAGTAATAGGTCTTGGACTGTGAAGTGACACAGTCCCATTAACATTTTGAAAAGAGCCCTCTGGCTGTTCTAAGAAGTAAAGTGTGGAGGCAGCAAGGCTAGATGGGAGGCCACTGCAGAAGTCCAAGTGAAGAATGAAAGTGACGTGGATGAGGGTGATGGTAGTGAGGAGAGAGAGAAGCAGGCATGACATGGAGATTCTACTCTGAAGTTGCCATCATGCCAGGTGGAAGAGCCCCTGGAGGGCACGAGTCTGGACAGGACCCGGTGAGGGATCTACCATCAGCAACTTGGTTGCCCACTCACTGTCTGGGGAAGAGAAAGAGGGGGGGATGGAAAATGAGGAGGAGAAATAGGCCTTCCCACCTACCGGTTTTCTCCCTGGGTAAAGACAACATGGGATCTGTTGATAGGCAGCTGTTGGAGGCCTGCTGCTTCTGTGGAACACGGGGCAGCTTTGCTCAGGTTCAGAGGAAGAGGAGGTCAGAGGAGGCAGGAGCAGGAGGTGATAATGATGCTGCCCTCCATGGAGCACTTAGTAGGACCAGTCGCAGAGCCCAGCTTTATACCCTGATTGCACTGAATCTGTGCCCTGACACTTCGAGGTGGGCACCACAGTTGTCCCATTGCACAGATGAGGAAACTAAGATTCTGTGGGGTAGAGTACCTCGCTTCAGGTGGCACAGGGAGCTCTGTCTGATTCTGGAGCCAGTGAGTTCTTAACCACCAGGCTCTTCTGGCAAGCCCTTGAAATGTAGGCTTAGGGGATCAGAGTTAAGGGATGATGGAGTTTAATTTTTTAACTATCATTTTTTTTACAAACATTCCAAACACTCTACTTCTCATTCCCTTGTTTCCACATCTCTCTCTTGGGTATTGGGATACTTTGGGCTTTCTAACCCCATAGTCCTGGTATATTAGAATGTAGGCCTAAAAGGAAATAGTTCTCTTTGAATCAGAAAGGAAAAGGTGGATGAAGTGACCTTCAGCTGGGGCTTTAACAAAGGAGATACAGTTCTTACGATTGACTGCTTTCCGAAGATATGAGAGACAAAGAGAATTAACACCAAATTTGGAAGCTGATTCTCTTCTCAGAGATATAGTTAGGAAAGAGACTTCCCAACTTTGGTGAAAGACTCTCTATCCAGGAGTATATTTCTGGGTCCTGAAAATGAAGTTCAATGTTTGGTTCTCTCCATCAGCTTTCTAAATTTAGGCCCTATGATTCACTAAGTAAAATGTATGTGTGTGTGTGTGTGTGTGTGTGTGTATACACACGCCTGTGTAAGAAAGAGGGAGAAAAGTGCATATTTTATTTATGGCACGTAAATAAAATTGCCTCCTTGACTGATCAAACATGTGTTTTATAGTGTGCCCCTGGGTGTAGACTGACCAGTGCACATATATTTTATCTGCACACAAGTCTCAGATGGGTAGTTTTCCATTGACCATGGGTAATTTTTAAAAACCTCAATTCCGCCCCCCCCCCAGAAGCATCCCACTTTTACAGAAATGGACAGTCTTTTCCTCACAGCTAGGGTGGGATTTTGATAGTGGGTGCTTTTCTAGCCCATGGCTGTTTTTTCTCTAACCTAATTAAGAGCATCCACTGTCAGGGCTGTGCTAGCCTTTGGATCAACTGTCCATAATGCATCCAGAAAACTTAAATGGTGGCCAGCACAGGACACAGAAGCCAGACAACATGTGGATCTCCACTTTCTTTTATCTTGCCTCTTCTTCTTCATTATTATGTTGTACTTTTATTCTCATGAAGATGGTTCAAAAGCAAACAGTTATAGCTTTAGGATTTTGGGCAGGCTGGGGTTGAAGGAAAGAGATTTCTCCCTTGAAAGAGAAAGGAGAAGAAAAAAAATCCATTTAATACAGAATTACTGGAGGGGGAGAAATCACTCATACCTCATTATTGACGCGTTCCACACAATTAGTGTGATCTTGAGGGAAGAACGTTTGAGCCACCCACAACCCTGAATATTCTCATTGGGTAGATGTAATAATAATGCATTTCACAGTGAACTCTTCAATACTGCGGGCAGTGATGGGGAGACCCCATCTTAGGTCTGTCAGTCGTGGCTCCAGGAGAGTCCCTCTTCCTCCCTCCTTCTTTGTTCAGGGAGAGGTTAAGCCTGGCCATTAACCCATAGACGAACCACATAGAATTTTCTGTCCCAGGGATCCGTTGATTGCCAGGTATGGCTTTGTGGTAATTCTAGCATTTGCAACCCAGCAATTTGAACCTTCTGTCTGCCTAAATGATGATTTCACATTGTGATGGTTGTACTAAATCCTTTCCCTTTTGCTCCATAGCCGCTGTTGTGACAAGAAGAGCTGTGGCAACCGAAATGAGACTCCCTCAGATCCAGTGATAATTGACAGGTAGGGACCACTCTACTTTCACTGGATTCTTATTCCTCATTATAATGAAACACCTGCCTTGTGTTGCTCATGGGCGAGGGTGAGGAACGCACATGGCCGAAATTTGCCTGTTGGTCATGACTAGTCTGTGCCGAGCTTTTGCGATCCCTGGGAAAACCAGTTGGAATGTTCTTTGGAGGCCCGTGTTCTTGGATTGCTTCGGTTTTCTGTCTGATTCATGCTCTTAAAAGAATATTTTTCTCTTTCCTGACTTTCTGTGGCTCAATCCTCATGCTGTGCCAGGAAGCTACAGAAATAAAATAATAATAGTTTGTGATTTATGAAATGTGGTTGGGTGCTTATAAATATTTAACTTTTATTTGAAAAATGTTTGAATCATTATCACTTTTAGCTACAGTAGTTCTGTTGGACGTAATCCATCTACATTTTAAGGTTTTATTTATGCATAAAAGCAGTTTTAAGGAGATCTGTGAACCAAGACTTTCTAGTGTTATCTCCCGGCATTTGATGGTAGTTCATACTGTATTGTAAGTTGATTAATTTATCCTGCTTGTCTTAATTATTGTGTTTTTAAACAGATCCATATTACTAATCTGACATGACCAAGTAAATCACTGTAGAACAATAAATCTGTTTTAGTTGTTGGGTGCAATTTGGAGTCGGTGTGTGCACATATTATGGAAAGTCGCATTCCAAATATTCATTTTACATTTTAATTATTGAAATTCATTGTATGGAAATATGTATGATAAACCATTTGTTACATAGCATTACTCATTGAGAGTTAAATGGCCTGGAAGGTTTATGGTTACTGTCAGTTGTCAGCTAGGGAAAGAGCTAACACCCTCCACTAGCTGGAAAAGAGTCTTGTAAATTAGACTGACGGATCCCTCATGGAGGAAATTAACAGCTGAACAAAAGTTCCTCTTTGGGTTTGGTAATGATGATTTTTACTGAAAAAAAAAAAAAAAAACCCCACAAAACAAAACAAAATAAAAAACAAACCCTATCTATCTGTCTTTCCAATTTTTACCTTTTGGGGCTACTTTATTGTTTTTCGGTTAACTGAAAAACTGCTTCCTTGTAATTTATGTCAAAACATTGATTTGTTGATTTGGATTCATGTGATTCTCCAGGCTTCAAACCAATTTTTTGTTGCCCACTAGCTTTATAAAGCTTACGTTTCAATCAGGTATTTTAACTAAATATCTCTCTAATATTTACCCAAAACATACCCCTTTGCTTGATAACTGAGTCTTAATATACTTGATTCCAAGTTAATACACATTTTTCGTGTGAGGTGAGGTCGTATGCCGCCTGTAGGTTTGGAATAGCACGTTTATGTGCGAGAGCAGCCCTGCCATTCGTGTAATTCCTTTTTTCTGCAATGGAAGATAAATCTTCCGATGGAAAAGGTCAAAACTAAATATAACCTTTATGCTGTTTGTTTTATTTAAATCCATCTCTTCGAAATACCATTTGTTATTTTAAGCAAGTTTTTCCTAACGCTTCTGTTAAAAAGAAAGTGTTCTGATCAAAGGACCAGCCCAAACAGTCCCACAAACTTTGAAACTATAAGCATTCTGTTCTGCCGCACAGTTTCTTTTGGTGTAGATGATGACAAGCAACCGTACCTTGCCACCCGCAATGAGAACACTTCTTTTGCTTGTGAATGGGTTAAGCTTTTAAGTTCTTCATTTGGTTTTAAGCTGTGACTCTGATATAGAAGGTTGATATGACTGTGGTTTGAATAACATTTGATTTTGACCTGTTCTTGTGGGTTGCGATGGCATAAGAAACTTGACTCAGCAGCGCTGTAATTAGCCCGGCCCGTGTTTTTGAAACAGGATTGTGTTACCTGGATTGCATTAGTGTGGCTTCTATTGTTGCCGCCTAGCATCTGTCCCAGTAGGGTACTTAAAACCTTTTCTTGGCTGGGGTAGTTCAAACAATTTAGGCAAAATAAGTATGCACTTTATACTGTTGGTGGCTTGAGAGATATTACTCATGACATTTCTCCTTTTCATTTTTTCCCTTTTTGGTTTGACAAAGTAGAAAACAGTGTGTAGCCAATGTTGGTCTCTTAAGAGAGGAGTATTTTAAAACCGGCTGAAACCCAGTGGATCTGCAGAAGCCTCAACATGTTTATTTGCTGGCGACTGCCACTGTCTCCCATGAACTGTCTTTTCAAGCAGTGATGCCAGTTGATATGCAAAACCCCATTTAGCTATTTTTATTTGCATCTGAGTTTTCAGAATTTATTTGTCCTTGAGTCTGCCAAAGGTTTTAAAAGCTCCAGCCCTGTCTCTGCTGATATGTGAAACTTTCATTTTTAACAATGAGAGAAGAAAATAACAACAAGAAAAGAACTCACACGAGGAAGGGCAAAATAGAAAAGATTTTTCAATTCCATAAAATTGCTGCAAAGGAAAAAAAAATGATGGCAACCGTGTTTGAATTTCATAGTTTCCAATTTGATTCTATATTACCGATTGCATAATATCTGCGTTACGTGCTTAGGGTTTGATTTGCTTTCAGATTTATGGATGTGAATCTCTGCATATTTTGCAAAAATAGGTTATGGGGCCTGCATTCAGTTGCAACAGTAACTGTTTTTACAAGATGCATACAATATGCAATTATGGAGCTGAAGGTACAGGCAATCACTGTGTTAGGATTTCGCATAGTTTTAGCACGAAGTCACCTTTCGGGCACCAATAATTTTTAGCTCCCTTTGCTTGTCCTTCGGATTTTGGAAGAACACTGCTATTTTTATCAGTCAAAAGACTTTTAGCAGTGGTTATTCAGGAAAACTATTTATAGGGTAGATAGAAGACGTTTTCTGGTCATACCGCAATAGTGCAGGCCAAGCTATTTCTGTGTTAAATTTTGGCTGTATTTTTTGCTGCCAGTGATTTGGGGACATCAGCGTGGCGTTGTCTATCAAAAAAATGGAATTAACAAAATCAGCAGTTGCATGTCGTGATTTAGAAAATGGGTTTCTACTTCCTTCTTTTATAATAGCATGCAATAGAGTAAGAAAAATATGACCCACATTCTTTTTACATTTGTGACAATTTGTCAAGTCCCTTCAAAAAAGTTTAGAGGAAGATTTCTGCAAATGTAGAAGGTGTGCATGTGGAGTTGACTGCCAGGTCATATTTTGGCCTGATGCCAAATGGCTTGATTAAGAATTATAAAGACCAGGATGTGCCCAACGATCCCAGTATTTGGGCTGCGTAGACATGCAAAAAGTCATATGTGTTATGTTTAATAACCGATGACCAGGAACTAATAACAGTAAATTTCATTATCATTGAGGTAAACGGCTATGTGTGGTAATTATTGTTAAAGTAAAAAGTAAAAACTGTCTTGCTGTTATTAAATTAAGGTGGAGATTGATTTAACATATTCACACAGTAACTCATATTTGAATTTAAAAGGTTTGCAATAAAATCCGTGTTTAGAAATTGAATAAATTGTAGTTTTATTACCACATTGGGTATCCTTGTGTCCTAACCTTTTTCCTTGGAGTTATCTTAGTTCAATAAATAAAACCTCATTAGACTATTCCCATTTCAACGAGTTTATTAAATTTTGCAGGAGTAATTAGCATAAGCTGTGCTAATTTTTCTGGAAGACTAATGAGGGAGGTTCTTAATTAGGTTTACTTTGTAAGAGTCAGAAAAGATGGTAATGACAAAAGTCACACAGGGTAGTCCGAATTGGGAACCCAGTTTTTCTAAATCTGTAAAAAAAAATCTTCCCTTTTCTACATGGAAACTTCTTTATAAATACTTGAACTGAATATATGAAGTGTGCAGACTGTTATTCCGTATCTAGTTGGTTAGGGTTACCATCCGTTCTTGATTTGCTTCACAAAACTCTTTATTTTCCTATCCTTGATTCACTAAACTATCTTAGAGCAATGACATGGGTGAATACAGATGGTCTTACAAAAACATTTCTTTCTCTGAATTATACGAATTATACTATAGGATTCCTTTCACACAGAGCCCTGAAGTTTCCGGTCAGATTAGTTGTGCTTATTTCCAGTAGGGCAGGATAGGGTATGGCTCAGTATTTGTTTGTTTGTTTGGTTTTTCAATTTAGGATCAGTGTGACTGATGAAATAGAACACTAAGTAAAGGGACAAAATAAGTTCCCAATTCTTCATGTCCTTGCACTGTGGATCCTGGGTAGTTAACACGGGGAATTTTTTCTTTTAATAGATAGAAATAATAAAGGGTGAAATTCTTCCTCAAATCATGCTTTCCCATCTCATGTGAATTTAGACATAGTCCTTTTGAGATATAACATGGCTTGAATAGCCTGCACATTTTGAGTTCCTCACAGCCCGTATGAGCATGGATTTTTAAAGCCTGTTGACTAATATACCTCTAAAAATTTTGCATTTGCTTATTAAAACTTTAACAGATTTGTCTTTCTTTTCCATTTATAAGATCCTTTACCTATGTTTGAGATGTAAGCTTGTGATACATTTTAAAAAATACATGAATTCTATGATGTGAAAAAGTTAGCTTGTTTAGAATCACTACTCTTTAGGTCACACTGACCCAAGGGTGTCCTAAAAAGAAAGGAAGAAAAAAAACCCTGTATTTGTCTTTTCCAGGATTGTCTAAGGATCTTCCACATCTAGATCACTTTCATTTAGGTAACACTAGTTGGATTTTCTTTATGATTATTGTCTGAAATAGAATGTTCAGGAGTGAAAATAGTATAATGCTTATTTTACCTGTTGAATTTACATGACATACAGCATATGAAAAGCTTGACCATGTCAAGGTTGTTCAGAGAAGAAATTTTTCTTAAGATCCCTTCTTCAACTGAGAGGTGTAAATGCTATGACTGAACTTTTTAGAAATGTCTAGTGTTGTCTTATCAACATCTAATTTCCTGATTAAATTGGCCCGATGTATTTATAGAAGATATACGTCCACCTGTAAAACAGGAAGACAATAGTAAAACTTTGGAATTAC